ATTTTCCTCACTAAAACCCCCTCACCCAGGACAAATTTACCCCAACCCCTTACCAACCGCAGGGATTGTTTTAAATCTCGTGAATAATAAACAAAGTTATTATCTTTATTTTTATAAAGACAGTATATTCAGACCCGGAAATACCAGGAGCGCGGTTTTGGGGGAAAAAAAGAAAAGGATAGAGAAAGTGTGTGTGTGTGTGTGTGTGTGTGTGTGTGAAACCATGGAACATTCTTCCGTCAACATTTTACGTTACAATTGGCTAAACATGCCGCCAGATGGCGACACACTGCACATGCGCTGTCTTCATTCTCCGTAAATTATCACTGGCCGAAATTACGGCGTTCGCTGCTATCAGAAAAAAAGATATCATCTCCCATCTCCTCACCCCTTAATTATGCTGAATATTAAACTAGGTCTGGCCCCTGACAGAGGTAGGGATTAGGCGAGAGAGATTCAGTCGCTAGCGCGCACTCAGAGAATACGGAACCCCTGGACAGGTGAGTTATTGGTGTATTCATTTTATATAGAAAGCAAAGGAGAAATGTTTCATTGTAAACAATGAAAAAAACGTATGAAATAAGTATGTTTTAGCTGAAAAATTATGAAAATAAGAGAAGTTACGTTCTTAATGCTTTTCTACTGTCATTTTTAGCTAACTCTGATATTAGGAGTTAGTATTAATATAATTATTTGTTGCGGCATTTTTTGCCAAAAAGGACTTTCTGTGGAAGAGATATTTTATTTCGTGCCCTAAATTGTTTCTCTGGAATGTAGGATCTTAACCATATCTCTTGGGAGGTATTGAGGATATCTATGTTTGGTGCAACATTTTTTTGGATTAAACTATAAAGATTACATTGATAATTGGTTTTATCGCGAAAAAGGTATTCGGTATGCCGCTTATCTTTTAAATGTTGCATGAAAAATGTAGGGTGCCACAATCAAAATGGGATAACTAGGTCCAAGAAAGTTAATGACAAGTTCTCACTTCCCATTTAAAAGCAAAGTGAATTTTGGAAAAAAAGAATTAACATTTCCAGACTCATTTATCTATTTATAAACATCTTATGCTAAGCCAAGAACTACAGTACATCTCATGAGAGTGAGAGTACGTATGTAATTTTCAGATAATTAGATTATGGCCAACGTGATAAATATTCTAACGTATAAATGGAAAGATAAATTTAACAGACAAGAACGATTTTTTTTTAAATTTGATTTGGTGGTCCCGTATAACACTTGCAGGTTCTGCTGGCCCCCGAAATCTTAATTTGTAAGTATTTTTAAGTAACCGCAAGTCGCTGACCAAAATAATACGGTGTAACAAGCAGCAAAGAATTAAACGTATGAATATGTATTCACCAAGGACAGAGACATTTTTGTGTAGATAGTCCATCTTAACGGACATATATAAATTAAACATAACGGTGAAAATGGGTGTCATCACACACAGGGTGCTAAATTACTAAGATCGGATAGATTTATCACTGGCGTCGTAGTTCTTGGATAATTCATAATTAATTGCACGTCGTTTGGAATGTGTCTGTAATGGAAATCTTAAGAAATCACAAACAAAGGGTTGTCATAGGTTTAACATGTACTGGATAAAAATTTGATTAAAAATGAAAGGTTCGTCTGATTTTGTATATGTGAAAGATGTGATTTTCTGTGCAAATGGCAACTACCTGTTATCAAAATACTCTGCAATAGTGCAGGGGTCGTTATCCCGTAGGTGTATAAGGTAAAATAGGAATTTGTCTTAAATGACTACTAGTCGTTTTAAATCTTGACTTTTTTTTCTAAAATACACATATGGAATACCATACACTGTGTTGTATTACGTAAGTGCACACAAGTCGAGAATTAACCTTCTGCTTGATTTAATAAAGTGCAATTCTAAATATCTCAGCTCAGTAAAAATTCTTTTGGGCTTGGTCACTTTTCACATGTATAATTTTTTAATATATATTTTATGAGGGGGCTTGATATAAAAATAGAAAAATAGATGTCTTATCGAATTTATTTAATGTGGTGAAAACATTTTGTTTCACCAGTAGACCACAGTGTTATTCATAGGTGTGTGGTTTTACCGCGATGATAACAGACGGAAATATGTCCTAATAGAGGAATATCACCTCGTTTTTTTTTTTTTTAATCTATATGCAAACGTATCATTCCTCAAGATCATTCAACTCAAAGAGTAGATAAAATTAAAAAAAACATAATTCAAAACGCCAAATAAAAAAGGCTCCATAAGAACACGCACCGGCATTTGTTGAAGTTCACCCGTAAGATAAAAAAAGTTTCATTGTTTGAGTTGGTTTATTTCCTTACATTTGTAACTCAATGATTGACCTTGTCGTTCAGTTATACGTGAAATTCACATGTACGTGCGAAATGTCACAGGATCCTTTAAAGTGTGCATCAATTAACGACTAGACACGGTCTTATAAATGCAGATATAATGCCATTATTTATTCATAAAACAAAGGTATAGCGTTGGTCCAAGATAACGACTAGTTTCCCAACCAAGTTCAGGAATGAAATAAAAAGATAAGAAGCCCGCCACAGTTCTCACTTTCCTGCATTAAAATTTAAGTTGTATATGTAAATTCTGAATTGGTGCACACGGCGTAGTCGTGGTACTTTTCAACTAGGCCCCTGTCCCCTATTTTCTTGTTTAAAGAACTTACAACTAACGTATTTGATGAAAACCACGTACGGTGTAGAGGTACAGTACCACTTGGTATGTCTTAAGATATAAATGACACTGTTACTTATCAACGCTACCATGGATCTACTGGTACCGTTGAATATGGAATATGCGTAGATAAATAGACACACCAAGGACGTCCATTACATTAACAAGGATGAACAAGACGACGTCTAAGCTTGTGAACGAAGAAGAGGCGTGGTGCTTAGCAGACGACTGACTGATTACAATGTCAACAAAAATATAATTTTTTAAAGCATCGGTGGTGCTTTAATTTAAATCTAAGCAGCTTAATGAGATGGACCTTTTTTATCGAACAAGGAAAATTTAAAGCTCAGTCTGTTTCTTGCGAATAATAGCTGAGAAAAAAAGCAGAAAGTATGTTAAAAGCGTCAGTTGTTAACCATGACAGTAATTGCATTGAGCTTTTTCTGACCACAAATATCGGCACGCATTTTAACACTAGTGAACCAAACTGTCACATTTTCAGCTTGGATCCCTTGCAATTTTATTCTGTAGAACAATTTATGAGTTGTGTTAACAACGTGTTTTTTTTAATGATCATTGTGGTTCTTTGTTATCTTGATGACCGCTGTCCGGGGTACGAACGCCGCCTTATATTTAAAAGCTGCACTTTAACCTCAAGGTCAGCGAGTTTTATTTCCTTGTCGTCATTAAAAATAAACTAAAATTTCTGTGGCATACATATGTGTGAGCGTAATTGCTGGTAATATTTCGTGCGTTTGGTACCCATTTCCATATACATATATACATATGTAAGCTTTGTCCTTCTGCAAAAACTGATATGCAGTGCTTATCAGCATATTTCACGAATGTGATATATTCCAATTAAAACGCGTGACAGTTTTTGTTTCAAATTCGCACAGCAACGGCGGACGCAGAACTAACGTAATGACAGCTCAATGTCACCCCCCACCCCCTTTTAAGGGAAGAAGTGTCTCATTTAAAAGCCAATCTTTGCCTACTTAACCTGCATGTGGCAGTTACCGCTTGATATATTGAGCGAAACGAAGGTCATATAACGTATTCTTGGTATTCTCAAGCCATTACCCTCATCCGTTCTTTTAACGAATATGATGATTCTTGGTTAAAACATACCCCCATCCCCCCCCCCCCACACACACACGCACTTCTGCACAAATTTACACGACCCACCCTAAAATATTAAGTACTCCAGGGGGCTCTACTAGTCATACCCCTCCCCAATCCCACCTAACTAGAGCAAATATAACGCACTGCGTATAACAAGCGAGACATAAACAAGGAAAGGTTCCATGCATCCCCACCCTCAAAATGTACCTTTTATAGTTAAATTGTCTTTGTTGACTATTTGCGCGACTAAAATTTCATTGGGCTTCACCCGGACCCACCTCAACCTCAGAGGACGTCTAAGGGAAGTTCTCGGTAAATTATTTGGATTTTTTTCACCTTTACTGACCGCGGTAAGGTATATCACGTGATGTCCTTGACCGCCTCTTTTAAGGGGTCTGAAAAGGCCGCGGTCAGGGATGATGACCAAGTGCCGTGAACGTCCTCCCTAACTCGATGTCACCCACCTTTTAACCCCATATTTACCGTCTGTTTCGGTGAATTACACGATGGTGCCTTATTACTGCATCATAAAACTTTGACACTAATGCGCGTTGTTTTACGCCTTCTAATTAACGAGCGACGTTCAGGCTGACCCCGAGTTCATTCGTCGTACATTACTTTTACATCTAATGCTTCAAATTACGATAATAAAGGTATACTCATGCCAATTATCTTTCAAACAAATTCATATTCTTGGTGTCGTTAAAATCATTAGAAGAGTGGAGGACACCTATTGTCATTGTCATAATTTGGTTCAATTTTATTCTAGGTCTGTAACGCCCAGCCTCAGTCTCGAACGATTTTTTTCTGTTAAATGGTCCTTCAAGTGACTTGTACCGTACTACAATTATTTTAATAGACTATTCAATTTTAATGTGATACAAATGACTTATAAATTAACATTTGACGTCACATCGAGAGTTCTGTTAAATAGTTCGTACAAAAAGCGCGCTTGTGTTCTTGAGCAGTCCATTCTGGGTTGGCACGTACGCTGTAAGTTGAATCCACTGCGCACGAAATTTGGCAGAAACGAAATGAATGAGGGATTATTGAAATTTTTTGGGGTACATAAAGTGGATGATACATGTAGGTCTGTAAAGAGGAACAATTTACCCCATGATATTGTTGACAGTTTTATTTACTACAGGGTAGGCGTACATGTTTATTCGTGCGGTAAGTATTGGGGTTGATGCGTTTTCTGTGTTTTTCCTCAGTTTTTTGCGTTTGCCTAATCATACAAAATATTAGAACTGTTTTCTTTTTTTTCTTTTCAGCGTGACGTCGGACGGGTGGAGTTGTGAACAGTGAGAAGGTTGAGAACGTCACGTGACCAAAGTCAAGATGGCGGCAAGGTAACATTGGCCGATTGGCCGGACGACTTTCAAAGCGACAAGCAATGTCTGTCCCAAGATAATAGATTGTGTGAAGCTTTTGGTCATATTTCTATTCCACATTTATTGAAGTATTGTTTCATCGAAATTTAAATTGATTTATTAAATAAGCGCTTCATACAGTACATGTATAGTGTAGTTAGAGAGTCAGTCAGCTGCTTTAGCTGTTTGTATGGAATTATCTTCTGGGGCATCTATTTGCCATTTTAACAGTGTTTCTGTTCGTCAACGTATCACTTTTCGTTTTGAATTTTCGCTTATTTAAATACCTCTAAACTTACTTATCTACGCCTACTTTAAAATATACATATAAAATAATAACTGTAACTTTGAAGAGTAATATAATTTGCTCTCGTTGAAAACTCCAGTTTTGACCTTATTCTACATTCAAAAATCATCTTAGCCTGTCATTCATACCGCATTTCCTGGTACACACTGAAATCATTAATGCAAATTATATATTCACCTGGTAAAGCCAACATTAATGGGTTTCTTATCATATACGTGCGGTAAAACAAATTGCCCTATCTCAGCGTCTCTGCTGCTTTGTGTGGGACTGGTAATTGTTTTTGGAGTGTGGTCTACTAGTAGATAGTAGTTTTCATCACGCAAGGACGGTATGGCTCCTTTTTAATGATACAAAGGGGTGTTTTAAGGTAATTCTACGAAAAAGTTAATATTTCAGTTACGTACTGAGTCACGCATATATTTAGTGTAATATTTGCATAATTTAACTTGCCCCATTATTTTTATAGTTTTATACTATAGATGCCTTTAATATGGTAAAATCAACAGCAATTAAATGTGATAGAAAACAATTGTGAATGCTTGACACAGAACATTTGCGTCAGTGACGTGATTTAAACGTGCACTGCTTAGTGGAAAAATAATTTAAAGACTGGGAATAGTACGAGAACGTTGGAAACGAGAAGAGGCGTGTTTATATTTTAATCTGATTCCATTCAGCTAGATTCCCCGCGGAATTGAATCGGTATACGTAGACCGATAGTGTCAGTAGAACTGAGCCCTAAGTCAGTCTTCATTTTATTAATTCAGCCCACGGCACTCGAACAAATCCAAATCCTGTACTATGATATGTCTGCCGTGCCTGATCTGAGGGCAACATTTCCGATGCGTGGGCGACTGAAAATGCGATAATCTGTGTAAATGCAGAGGTTTATTCTGCAAGCGTGGCTGCGTTTTCCAGTAGAATATCTTTAAATGTGTTCTATTACAATGTCGTTTGCGCAAATGCTTGGATTTTTAATAATAATATTGCTGAATTAGACGCAGTATTTTCCTGTTTTGAGTGAACTTTTCATACACATTTTTATTTTATTTTTTATTTTTTGTGCATCGTTTACATATACCATAATGTATTGCAAACATTCCAGGTTTCTCGTCATTGTGTTTCTCGGACTCGTCTGCCTTGCGCGTGCTCAGAGTAAGTTAACGAAGTACATTTATTTCTCTCAATATATAGCACTTTGGCAAGTTCTATCGTATCTAAAAAATTCAAAGTAACCGTTTGTAAATGATAGAATAAAACTTAGAAGGACTACCGTTACCATGTACAGTATGTGTCGAGAGACTCCGCTCAGATTTTTATGCCATTTATTTTTACCACTGCTAGTTTTCTGAGTCCAGTTTTAGATATCACGATTGCTCCGAAACTTAACTGCTTTCACTTTTTTATGATTTTCCACGTTTCACTAAACCATTCCATGTTTTAGATATCGAGATTCCTATTGGCGAACACTGTGTGTACACACCGGTCGACGCATTCTTTGTTATGGATGGATCCGCTAGCGTGGGCTCCGCTGGATGGGAACAGGTATTTTTTTAACCACAAAACAAAGTTAGCATTTAACAAATCATTTTCAGCCATTTAACTTTAATATGTAGGGTATAGGGGTGTAGAAATTTATTGATTTTGTTTTGATTTATTTTGCTAGTTGTACATTCTTTTGGACGGAAAGTGGAGAAGATGTTATACAAGTATATATACGTCCTAAACTAGTCCAAAGCACGTGGCTGACAGTGTATTCAGAACAGCGGACTAACAGACCCACTTAAAAGTTTGCCGCTTAATTCCCTATTAGACATTGAATAGATTCCCCGCGGGTAATACGCAACAAGCATTTAAGTGGGTCGGCCATATTTGTTCTGAATGCGCTCTGAGATGCCCCCCTCTCCCCGCAACCTCCAGGATCAAATAAAAATTTCGTGTCAGGATTACATCTTTATATTTTTTTCCACTTCAGGCAACCAACTTCATGTCGTCCGTCATCGAACCCTTCGATATAGGCACGGACAATCTTCAGGTCAGTTTTCCTTTTTTCTTATCATTTATTTAATTGCCACTCGAATAACAACTGATAAATGCTAACCTAATTGCTCACATGCTCTCTCTTACTCCTTATTGTAAAATTATTAACATACTTTTATAGTGATATGATACTTTGCAAACAAGGTATAAATAATTTTACTCAATCCTCTGTTTTATTCTTTTGGAAGATAATACTTTCACCCGCTATGCACTTTATTGTCCTATACATGTACGGTTACTGTACAGGTATAAACTGTGTAAGCACATCCCACCCTTGTTCACATTTTATTGTTCTTTTAGGTCGGTCTGGTTCGGTATTCCAGCGACGCCAAGGTGATGTTTAACTTAAACAGATACCAAAACAAAGACGAGCTGCTTCAGGCCATTAAGGACATGCAGTGGTTCGGCGGAGTGACCAACACGGGTGACGGCCTGTTGAAGATGAGAGACGCCATCATGGATCCGAATTTGGGGTCGAGGCAAGGTAAATCGAACCGATTCTCTCAGAAAAATCACCTGGATCGAGAGTTTTTTTTATTATTCTAGTGATTTTTTTCTTATTTTCGTCATCAGATAAAGGTTATAAGGAGATTAGAGATGGATAACTACTGTGTCTAAACCATGGTTGTGCTGCTTTTTGGTCCGAAACGTTCCTAGTCAGAATGGCGACAAACCACCAGAATACCACTACTAGTAGATGATATTTCAAACTCACTAAGATTTTAGCAGGCCACTAAGGAATTACTTGGATGGCGATGCGCAGTTTTATGCAGAAAGGTCCTTAATTCAATATGGCCCAATATAATGGAACAAATGCATGTATATCAGAGCTAAAAGTGATTTTGATCGTTTTGAAGTCTCTCTAAAAACATATCGTTTTAAAGTGTTATGAATATTGTCTATTATGAATAAACTTTAAAATGAGGTGTCTATCATTTTAGTATTGTACCGGTAACTCTTTTGAATTTTATATTTCATACTTATAAAGTGCATTTAAATGTAATGCGCTATGAAAGAAGTGAATGTCGTTATCATCAGTATAATCATAAATGAAGCGATACTCAGTTGTCACATATTTTCATTTCAGGGACAAGAAAAGTCGCCTTCGTCATCACCGACGGACGGTCAAACACCGGACCGCCCGTGGTTGACGTCGCTCCTACTGTCCACGCTCTCGGGATAACGGTTGTGGCGATCGGTGTCGGTGACGCCGTCTTGGCGGAGCTGGAGACCATTGCCTACCCGTCAAGTAACGTGCTTTACGTCAGCGATTTCGGAGGTCTCGCGAGAATCCGGTCTAATTTGACGCAGGTTATATGTCACGGTGAGAATTGAGTATTTTAGGGAAATCCCTATGTAGAGCCTCATGTAAATGTTTTTTTTTTTTTATTATTATTATTAAATAGTCATTTATTTTTCTTACAATTGTATTTATTAATTGAGAAGCAGATAACTTTAAAAATAAATTAATATTAACTGGAAATTAACTGTTTTTCTATGTCATTTTATTCAAATATTGCCTTCTTTTCGGATCATTTCTGGTGATTCTTATTTATTTGAAAACAAATGAAGGTTTCCTGTATCAGAATCTTAATAATTGTATGTATTCCTACATGTTTTTATCAACACATTGGAATTCATACCTTTCCAGTGGACGCAGGTTGGGGTCAGTGGACACCCTGGTCCCTCTGTGACCGTACATGTGGCGAGGCTATACAGGTGCGTACCCGGCTGTGCGACAGCCCTCCCCCGTCTGGAGAGGGTTCCAAGACCTGCCAGGGCCCCTACGAGGAGATCCGCCCCTGTAACCTTCAACCCTGCATTGGTAAGTCCAACGTCACTTCCGGCACAATTGTCCTTTCTCACCTAACACAATTTCACTGGATTTCGTTTTGATTTACAAAGCTTTTACACGCCGTGCAGTGTACTCAATAGGGTACATGTGCCTTAATCCTTGCCCCAACACTGTAGTACAGTTTAAATGCATGAGGCTACTTAAGGTGCACTCACTCTCTTCCTTATCACGACAAATAATGCAAAAATAATGAGCATGTCTGAACTAGGTATATTTGCATATACCACAGAGTATGCAATTAAATGATTTTTGCATATTGTCTACCCTTGGAAATTATATCAGACGATTGCTTATTACAGTACTTACCTGTACTTAATCTAGTCAACATCAGATTAGAACGGGGCGGACGCACCAAGTACAGTTATTCCTTTTTAAGCACTTATCATGAGTACAATTACCCCACCATTAGGCAGATAATCAGTTGTTCAGAGAATATAAATATCGTCTAGTAAGATGGCAAAGAGAGAATAAGATACTAACACTATGAAATCCTTACAATTTGTACAAAAAACCCTAACGAGAAGGCAGATGACCTCATATCGACGTCATTTGGCTCGCCTCGTCTTCCTGTGCAATTCAAATGGAAACATCGCGGGTACTTTTCTTTGAGGTTTTTATATCGTTTTTATGGTCTTCATAGGGAAAGATCAGTAACTTTTCGAATATATAAAAATTAAATGGGACTTTTGGAAAATTTAAGGAAATTTGCATTCTGAACGTTTTTGCATATAGAGAACACCGTGGATACAAGGGGAATTACTATGTTTATTCTTCGCAGAGATTATTTGCAACTATGACTGTGTTACCATAACTAGATCGATCTAACAGGATCGATCCATCTCCAAGGGGTTTCTCGCTAAATTGCTTTCAGCTTAAGCGGCTTACATGTCTAGATCGAACCAAAGTTAGTCTGGGAATGGTCCCTAAACCTTTAACCATATGAACTGTATAACGTTCACCATTTCTTAACCACGTCATCCTGCATTTCAAAGTGTCGATTGCCGTATTTTAACTTAATTTTTTCAGTTCCAATTAACGGCAACTGGGGGCAGTGGCTGTCTTGGGGCGCCTGCAGCGCCTCCTGTGGTCCAGGACAACAATTTAGATCGCGCCTCTGTGACAACCCCGCCCCTCAAAATGGCGGGCTATCTTGTCCAGGTGATAACAGATTCTGACTTATTATTATTATTATTATTATTTATGTTTAAATATTATTCAACAATTTTAAATGGTTCTACATTTTATGTTAAATGTTTCAACGTATATTTATTGCAATATTTTTGTATTTTCCATTCCTGGAAAAAGGCATTTTTGACAATGCACCATTTAGAGATATAATACAGTGATAAACTTTATTGTTTTTATTAAAAATGAGTGTCAATAAACCTTCTTCCCCTAATATTGCTTTGTTCAATTCATAAGTATATGTAGTCTAAACTGTAAGTGATTATAGCGTATGTACATGTATATACGTCACATAAATCGACTAAATCCAAAATTAAGCCAAAATTTGGTTTTGGATTTATATACATATAATTAACGTGACATATATTGATCGTCAGTGCAAGTAAATCACGTCTAAAGCGCAGTTACAAACTACATGTACTCTTTATTATTATTATTATTATTATTATTATTATTATTATTATTATTATAATTAAGGTCCGGCGAATGAAGGCCGCGACTGTTTCATCGCTCCCTGTATCACCGATGGCAACTGGGGAGGCTGGGGCGCCTGGACCCTCTGCAGCGCCACATGCGGCCTTGGCGAACAGAACCGTTTCCGAGAATGCAACAACCCTCCACCTTCCCCCGGAGGCGCCTCGTGTCCCGGATCAAACGTCGATACGACATCTTGCACCGTGGGAAGCTGTCCCGTGGATGGTGGATATGGCGCCTGGAGTGTGTGGACTCCCTGCTCTGCTCCGTGCGGACCCGGTATTCAAACACGTGGTCGGTCATGTGACTCGCCAGCGCCAGCTTTTGGAGGACGGCCCTGTGTTGGCCCAAATTACGAAGAGACTGTTTGTAATCTAGGTAAGTACAACACCGCCCTTGCAGTTTGCTGGTTAAGATAAGAAGACTAGTTTCTTTTTAGTTTTGCTTTGCTGCAGTTGTCCTTGTTTCTTCGTTTTAAATGCCAGTGTTGACCAGTGCACGTCAGCAGGACTATAAGTTCATGTCGTCAACTGGCTAACACTGCACAGCATACATCCACGACAGCTAGACTGCCCAGGGAACCATACGGGGCCAATTTAGTCACTAAAAATGAGCCACAGTTCGGCTGGGCAATGGGTTGCAAGGTGGACCCTACTGGATTTGCCTTCAATCAAAACGTATAGGTGGCTACAAAGTCAGGGCCGAAACCGGTCTTTAGAATTACTCTTTAAAAGGTTGAGGCCTCCAGACCAAACGTAAATTTTGTAAACCGATGCAAACGTGCAGGGGAATATAATTTCTCTCTGGGAATTGGGCTTAAAATTGCACTAACTCACAATGCACTATTTTATTTATCCAGTCAAAATGGTAAGCTCGAGAATATATTTTGGACATGTTTTTTTATGTTCGCTGTATCGTGTGAATTGTTACAAAAGTTTCGATCAAAGTTTCGGACGAGGCACACTGAATGTTTTATACTCTTAAGGTCTATTGATTCTATAGCAGACTTCTAAAATGCTTAGGTGCTTTTTCACAATTGCGTTATTAACTTTCGCTTTCTATCCATCAGGCGCCTGCTCCATAAACGGTAACTGGGGTCAATGGACTGAATTCAGCACCTGCTCCGCGCCCTGTGGCCCAGGCGAACAGACACGCACGCGCGCTTGTGATTCTCCTGCTCCTGCATTTGGGGGACTCACATGCCCCGGACCCTCCACCGAATCGATCTCATGTAATCTTGGTTAGTAGGTCATGACTTCCGAAGCGGAAGTTTGCTCTAGTTTTGTTGCGAACAGGGCCTAAAATATTGTTAACGCTTACAAACTGGTTGAGAAGATACACGCATACACTCGTGTGTTTGTGTGTTCGCATGTACGATATTCAAAGAGGGGAGTACATATTAAGATATAGTATTATTGGTGTTGGAGAGTTTGCGCGCGCACTTGTGTTTGTGTGTGTGTGTGTGTGTGTGCGTGTGTGTGTGTGCGTGTGTGTGTAAAAGAAAGAGAGAGAAAGGAAGGCTGTGTGCATTTCGCATTTTCATAGCTTAATTGGTTTCCTTTTTATCAGGCGCCTGCTCCATCAACGGAAACTGGGGCCAGTGGACCGATTACAGCGCATGCTCAGCGCCCTGTGGCCCTGGCGAGCAGACACGCACGCGCGCTTGTGATTCTCCTGCACCTGCATTTGGGGGACTCACCTGTCCCGGACCCTCCACTGAATCGATCTCCTGTAATCTTGGTTAGTACATGTTGGTCATGATTTCAGAGCTTAAGTTAGTCCTCGGTATTTTTTTGCAAATTGGGCCTGCATGTATAAATAAAAATATACGAGTGACATGGGGGAAATGCTGCGCTCATACGTGTGTTTGAACTTACATGTATGTACTCGAATTTGTGTGGGGAGATGAATAAAAATGTAAGAGCGTGAGGGTGTTGGAGACACGTGATATATATGTGTGTGTGTGTGTGTGTGTGTGTGTGTGTGTGTGTGAGAGAGAGAGAGAGAGAGAGAGAGAAAGAAGAAGAGGAAAAAGAAGAAGAGAGCGCGAGAGTGAGAGAGAGGCTGTATGCATTTCGCTGTTTCATTGTTTACTTTCGCTTTCTATCCATCAGGCGCCTGCTCCATAAACGGTAACTGGGGTCAATGGACCGAATTCAGCGCATGCTCAGCGCCCTGTGGCCCCGGCGAACAGACACGCACGCGCGCTTGTGATTCTCCAGCACCTCTTTTCGGGGGGCTCACGTGTCCCGGACCCACCAGTGAATCGATCGCCTGTAATCTTGGTTAGTAGGTCACGACTTCCGGACCGGGAGTTTGCCCTCCATATATTACTGCAAATGGGGGATTTGAGCAAACATATAAGTGCTAGTAGGAGTTGGAAAGATATGCGAGCGCTCGTGTGTGTTCGTGTGTGTGTGTGTTTGTGTGTGTGTGTGTGTGTGAGAGAGAGAGAGAGAGAGAGAGAGAGAGATTCTGAAATAGTGATCTCTGATAAGCTTTGGGTTCTCATTTCCTGGATATTACCGGTATATTTCCTCTTTCTTCTTGTTCTCAGAGTAATTTTCTGGCCTTAACTGTTTTATGGAAAATTAACGGGAAGGCAATCTACAAGGTCAAATCAGACAAGAACTGTTTTCGACTGGAAATTGCAATGGGGTCTGTCGATGAGCCATTTGTGCGGCTTACGCCAGTTTCCCCGATTTCCGTCTAAAAACTTTCTTGTCTGAACTGTCCGACTATCTTAATTCTCTCAGGTAATTGTGCTGTAAATGGCAACTGGGGCCAATGGACAGAATTCGGGGCCTGCTCAAGAACTTGTGGCCCCGGCGAACAACGACGCACGCGCGCTTGCGATTCTCCGCCCCCTGCTTTCGGCGGTGCTGACTGCCCGGGATTTAGTGCTGAAGTGACCGCTTGCAGCTTGGGTGATGCTTTTATGTTGACAATTATTTTGACATGCAGCACTGCACATTGTCATAGATTGCAGGAATGAGAATGTAGATTTGTACCGAACAAAGTGTTGGCTCTTCAACTGACCCAATTATCCAAATTTACCAGTTAGGCGCGTGCTCCCAGATGTGCAATGCCTCACTTCCGATTTAGGCAAGGGTCATCTTTAATATGAAGAAATACGGCTATAGTTGAAATAATACGTTAAACTCTTCGTTGATCAGTGAAGATCATATAGATCTTTAATGAATTGGGTTAATCAAGTCACTGGCTTATGTTCGTTTCGGCCAACTGGTTTCTCAATAAGGCCATATAATCAGTTTTTACGGCAATGAAACGTGCTGCGTCCTGTTACATCTATAGTTTTATGCAGTGTTGTATTTCAAGAGCCAAATAGGCCTATCATGCGCAACCCTTTGAAGGCAATGTGTTTCCTAGATCTTGCACAAATGTTGCACCTGCAATCGTGGAAACATAACTTCTTTCAAGTGGTATTCTGTGTCTTTTGGAGTGGGGTATTTCCACAAAAGAACTTAAGCCCGAATATTGGTCTAAACTTTAAGACTAAATTTTGGGTCCACTGTTACCCATAATATTGTTATTTTTTAGTGAATTAAGAGCTGGTTTGAAAGATAAGCCATTTCTTTCTCGCTATATAATGCACCCAACATTTTCTTAAATCAGTGAAAATCAAATATTTGGTTTAAAAGTTTAGACCAATTTTAAAAATAAGATTTCTTTTTAAAACAACCCCCACCATGTCGCCAACTCTGCAAGTGGCCTCACGGATTCGATAAGACAATGATATTAATCTCTCAAGGCCATTGGGCGACCCAGATTTATCTAGGCCATTGGGTTGGGTGTGGTGTTGGACAGGGGTTCTCCTGGCCTATTTGGCTCTGGATTTTACTAACCTCACACGTTCATTACATTACACACTCATCAACATCATGCCTCAAATTACACACGTCATATCAACGCAAGAGACACATTGGCGTCTTAAACATGATGTAACAAAAGGTATACTGATAAGTAACTACTAAATACCAAAAAACAAGTACAATCACACGCACACACACATACCGCGCATGTATATACACACACATACACAAAGCATCTTATAACTAACAGGTTTCATATACTGTAACTAATGCAACTATCTTCTCTCTGACTATACACAGGTTCTTGTGCTATTGATGGTAACTGGGGAGAGTGGACAGACTTTTCTTTTTGCTCAACTTTATGCGGCCCGGGCGAGCAAAGGCGCACGCGCTTGTGTAACAACCCGGCCCCTCTCTACGGAGGCGCCCGCTGCCCCGGACCCGCCCGAGAAGTCATCGTTTGCAATCTAGGTGATTTTATAGACCAATCTGCATCCCCTCAACCGGGTCCTTTACACCCGGGCCCTTAGATCCTGGTCCTAAAGGAACAGATTCTGTGACTAAATCTCGAAGGGATATTATAAATTAACTTACATAAGGCGTTCCAAACAAACAATTTCAAAAATATCCGAATTTATCACACAGAGAGCCGCTTTACTTATCTCTTTACCTTTTTTATTTGGTTTTAATATGTTTGTTTATTTACTGTTTGTCTGTCTGTCTGTTTGTTTGTTTGTTCGTTTGTTTGTTTGTCTGTTTGCTTGTTTGTTTGTTTGTTTTCTCATTTAATATTTTAGTATATATTTATTCATTTAGTTAGTGAGTTTTCTCTCAGCAATATCTGAGTGTAACACAACATATTTCTCAAATTTCCTTGCAGTTTATAAATCCAGAAAAGTTTGTCGCATTCTTCAATAGCATATAAAATAATCTTCGGGGATATATATAAGTAAACTTTAAGATTTTCAAGTTTACATTGACGGGTATCTAATTTTTTCTGTCGGAAGACGGTCAAAAATGGAGGATGGATCAACAAAGATAAGTTGGAAGACTGTCAGAAAATATCTCTGGATCCGCCCCTGAAAAGGCTATCCAAATTAAAATGTGTCTATAAAAAATCAAAATCTCATTATCTGTTCCTTTAGGCTTTACACAAAAGATGCATTTGCTTTTCTTTCCTTTGTTATGCATTTTTAATGCAGCTAAGAAGAAATCTAGAACGCTAAAGCTATTTCTATCAGTTTACGAAACATCATTTAACCGCCCAAAGCCGCAAAAGACAACCGTTTATAATGAAAAGGCTTAATCAAAACAAAATCGAGAGATCAAATAAATTAAAAAGAGCAAGCAAGCGTAGCTGTAGGCAAATGCAGCTTTATTATTGTCAGAATTTTGCTTGCGTTTCAATAAAATCATTAGCTGGTAAAATATATGTACAACAATCCCGACTACAATAATAAAAAACCTAAACGACTAATTATTAATATATCTAACAGGTTTCTGTCCCGTGAATGGTAACTGGGGTCCTTGGACAGAATACAGCACGTGTTCCACCTCTTGTGGAACAGGGGAGCAACGGCGCACGCGCACTTGTGACTCTCCCCCAGCACAATATGGCGGCGCTCCTTGTCAGGGGCCTAGTGTAGAACTGCTTGTTTGTAATCTAGGTAAGATCCATCAGAGAAACAAAGACATTGGGGTTTTGAGATTCTAAGATGGGGTGCATGAACAAAGTGACTGTTTTTGTTAATTTACCGATGACTGCAGTATGTTTGGATACTTGAACTTCGATGCTAAAATCCATTTGACCAAATCTCTACTTTCTTAACAAACTACTCATTTCTAACAATACCTAATCTAGTCAAGTACCTAATCCAAGTCCAAAAAATACCAAAATACCTAATCTGTATCAAACGTTTACTTATTTAATAAATTCTAATTTTGGGGATAGCTGTTAATCTTTAAAAATATGTCCATTCACCTCTTTGTGCTTCAGTTATTATTTTCAACCCATAGCTATAAAGTATATATATATACATCTGTAATATTCTCTTTGCTTTGTCCCATAATCTTCTTTTTTTTCTTCTTTTTTCAAAATTCATTGCTTACGATCTCTACTTGAGGTTGCTTACAGGGGCATACCTATTCCGTATTAATCTGTTTAATCCCTCATAATCCTCAGGTAATTGTCCAATTAACGGGAACTGGGGACAGTGGAACTCCTGGAGCGCGTGTTCTGCGCAGTGCGGACCAGGAGAGCGGAGGCGCGTGCGCGCTTGTAACTCTCCCGCTCCCGCATTTGGTGGCCTCACTTGCCCTGGGCCTGACCTAGAAATTGGTGCTTGCAATTTGGGTGAGTGGGCCTTGTCCTTTTTGTGTGTCTGTCTTTCTGTCTGTTAGTTTGTTTGTTTGTTTCTTGTACTAATACCTGTATGTTTGTACAGTGAGTAAATTCTATTTGCTTATCATTTTTTGATAATACAATTTTTAAGTTTTGAGGAATTTGAAACCAGTACTTACGTTTATTAATTTAGATTTAATTGTATCTCATTCAAGATTTTATGCTTTTCTTAAGTCACTTTTTTGATTTAGTTTCCTTGCGTTGGGTTTCGTTTTGCGCTGATTTTTTTCCATTTTATAGACTTTTTTTAGCTTTTTTAAGTATGTTGTATTGTTTTGACTGAATTTCCCCAGCTTTGCTTCAATAAGATACACGGGTGGAAACATTTAGAGATTCATGTATATGCATTGTTCCCCAATCTGTTATAATATTGGAAAACTCGCCATTATTTCCACATGGGAAACGTAATTGTCGTCAACGAGAATTCCTAGGCCTATTTGTCGACATTTTGCATCGCGTGCTACGCATTTAAATTTCAACGTTAACATAAAAATTGGGTTCCCTGGCTAAGAACTTAATTACCAAGGTTACATGGTCACATGGCCACATCTCACCCTATCAGGCACAGTGTTACAGCACTCTTATGGAAACCCTAGTCAGCTAAGCCAGGGAACTGACTTAAATTTTCTTGTGAAACTGGGGCCAGGTTTCAAGCGTACGTCAATGCGTCTTTGGACTTGTCTTTTTCGAGTCTCCAAATATGTCCAATTTTTTTCCAATGAACTGCACATTTGCTTAAAAAATAAACCCTGGAATATATAACATCCAAAAAATCAATATATGTACATTTAGGTGGCGCCTCACCCCGTGTTGTCAGATGGGCGTAGAGAAAAAGCAAGAAAAAAAGAGTCATTGGTAGAGCCTGGAAGCACAAAGGTCTTCAGTATCCAATATTCCTTCTTATCTTGAGATAGTTTACTTATATCACATTTTATCACAGGTCCCTGTGCTATTGACGGCAACTGGGGTGCTTGGGCAGCGTGGACTGGTTGTGACGCCGAGTGCGGTCCTGGAAGGAAGTCACGTGGTAGAATTTGTAACGCACCAGCGCCATCTTTCGGTGGACGACCCTGCGAGGGACCAGCCATAGATTATACCGATTGCATGAATAAGGCTTGTCTAGGTAAAGAGGAATTTGACAAGTTATATTTATTTTAAACGATATTCAGTGGTGATTTGATTGACGTTAAATTATAATGACACTTACAAATACACATTTCATTTTTTTTTTTTTTTGTTGTTGTTCACTGGAGATGGACATTGTGCTGAACAGTGGGGGGAGTGGGAGACGGACAGCTGTGGAGACTTCAATGGACATTAGAAGCTGGAATAAACGCACTAAAGAATGTCGCCAAGAACAAACCCAGATATTTATACCTACATCTGGCATGTTACAGATCTATGTTTATTTATTTATTTATTTATTTATTTGACATCTGGTATAAACGCAATGAAGGATGGCGCTAAGACCAAAGTCAACCATTTATAAATGTATTTGGTATGTGCAAAATACATGCTTTTTAAATTTTATTTATTTATTTATCTATTTTTTCATTTATTTATTTTCTTGACAGTAATCGTCGACGGTAACTGGAACGTATGGAATGGCTGGACGGCCTGTACCAAGAGCTGCGGTGGTGGCGCCACCGTGAGGGCCAGACACTGTAATGCCCCTGGCCCCCAGAACGGCGGCAAGGACTGCCAAGGCCCACAGGTCGAAATCCTTTCATGTAACAAGAACCCTTGCCCAGGTAGTATTTTAAAGTACTTTTGCTTTCGATTTAGAAGCTGCATAGTCATATACTTTTGTACTGTATAGATATACTTTTGTACTGTTTAAATTTACTTTCGCTTTCGATTTAAAAGTTGCATGAATTGTCAGGTGTTATCTTTTTATTAATTGCACAATGCAACACTTATGGGATCCATGTAGAGGGTTTGAATGATTTTAAAGTGGTAAATCAGCTTGTGAACAGTCACCATAATTTTATTTTGTTGAGTACGATTTCAGACACCTCTCTCTGACACTTTGTTTAGATCCGGTAATATTTGACCAAAATAAATAATTTTTATTATTATTAGTAGTAGTAGTAGTATTTCATTTCTACAAATACTTTTATTACCTTTATTTTTGCTACTTTCGGTTTCTCCATACTCTCAGTCCAATAAAACGTACTCTTTTTATTTTAAAAGTTGTCACACCGTTATTTTTCTATCAGTTCGACAAAATTATTATTATTATTAGTAGTAGTAGTAATAGTACTTCCCGTTTCTCCTTACTTTCAATATATTATTAAAACTGTTCTCTTTCTATTTTAACAGTGAACGGTAACTGGGGTCCCTGGTGTTGTGGGTGGGGCGCCTGCTCTGCTAGCTGTGGTGGCGGCGTTCAGTCTCGTACCCGACAGTGTGCCATGCCTGCACCAGCACACGGAGGTCTGCCTTGTCAGGGCCCGAATGTTGAGACACAGGCGTGCAATGTGTTTCCTTGCTTGGGTAAGACTTATTATTATTATTATTATTATTATTATTATTATTATCAGTCGATATTAAAGGGAGTGATTTCAGTAAGCAGCTTTGTTTAATTATTATTATTATTATTATTATAGACATCTGCAGTTGGTGCTAAAGGGAGGTAGTTTTCAGTAGAATATCGAAACAAATTGAAAATGGGTTTCCGCACTTTGTGCTGCCTCATACATTCATAAATAAAAAAATATATATATATATTTGGCGTCATACAATTACACTGAAGCAATTTATTGTCATGCATTCCCACTACGAAGCACATTTACACTAAACATAAAATAACTAGAGTATCCAATGTAGTCACCCATCGTATATAACACAATAACATCTAACGCAATCAAGTTTTTTTCTGCGTCTTTTTTCTGTGACCATGCAACTGGCATCACTGTGGTTGTAGAATGAATTCTCAATGATCGGCCAGTTGTTGACACGTTCAGTATTATTATTTTTTAACTCTCTTTTAAGACGCCGTCCATTGTAAAGGGGGCTTTACTCTTTTACTCATCAATATACAAGAGAAAACGAAAAAACTTATTCCTCCAAAATTTATCATTTCAGTTCCTACCGGCTGGGGAGAATGGGGGCAGTGGAGTCGGTGTTCCGCCTCGTGCGGCCCTGGCATCCAGGGCAGACGTCGCCAGTGTGTCAACCCTCTACTGCCCTGCGTTGGCTCAGACACGGAGACAGCGGCATGCAACCTCGGCCCCTGCGTCCGTCCCTGTCGAGGTAGGTTATGATTATCCTCTTCCAGGGCCACAGAGAGATGTATTATACACTAAATGGTCACAGATATTTTTCTGGCTAGTTTTTCTACTAATTCCTCTCAGCTTAGTCTTCGTTATAATTTTGAAAGAGTAGAAGGTACCTTATGTATATGTGTAATCACATATGCTTATTGAACATAATGTGAACGTTATGTGGACGTGCTCGACCATTAAGCTTTGCCAAAGGTCACGTTTCTGCGACCTATCTGCAATTAATACATATACATGTACATATACATACCATTATAGCGCAATATCATCTAATAACTCCTCATAATCTTTTTACTTCTATTTTGTTTCAGAAACAACCCACGTGTCCACCTCTGCTTGCTCCTCCATCACCGGGAACGGCGTCTCCATGTACTCCTACCTCTACACCGTACCTAACGTCTACCTCAACTGCCAAGGCGGCTCCGTCTACATTGTCAACGCATGCTCCACCTTCGGCATCTCCGAATACTGCTCACCTCTTCCTTCTGTCTCGAAACTTCTCCAGACATCTTGCAACGGGAAGTCCGCGTGTGTTATAAAGCGACCTTGCGACATGGTGCTGTCCGGCACGCTGAAGATAAACTATAGATGTACTTGCTGAGGTTGAGGTCTTTTCGACGTGGCGTTGCCACTCGGTTAGGTTCGGGTGACGCCGTACATTGACGGAAACAGCCGAAATTACCCGAGTGTCGCCAGCGCTTTTCACGTAAATTGTTCAGGGTTGGTTGTTTGTTGACGGTGCGTTGCAGTAGAGTTGAAACTAATTTTTTCTCTCTGTGACTTTTGTATGTTGCTTTTCTTTACTATGAGCTTTAATTTTTGGTGCTACACGTGGGCACATATATTTATATATCTTAGCTTGGCAATGTTTACATTTTTCCAGCAATAGATAGTGTCATTCTGACAGCATAACAAACCAGTGTCAACATGACATCGAATCGACGTCATGTGCCTGTTGCGCAACAAGTTATATAATATTTGATGTATAATCTGTCATTTAAGTTTTATAGCATGAAGGATTCTCACAACAATAAATATACTGTATTTATTCTATGGCGTGTTTTGCTGATATATTTTACATGTACGTGTGACATCCCTTCAAATAGAAATATTTTCCTCCTTTCTTATTGGTATACTGAGCATTATGTAATATAACATTGAATACCCTAAAGAGCAGTTTGAATAAATATATTTTGGGGAATTGTTTGTCTAGTATTTCATTTAGTTTGGATGCGAAGGCATTTCAAATCTTTCTTACGAGTGAGTGTAGATTGTCTTTTCGTATTGCTAATATTGTTTTTTGTTCGCGGGCGGATCCCCCCCCCCCCCCCCCCATCGCCACCACCAACACAGCTTCCAAGAAAAATCCAATTGTTTAAAATTAATCCAAAAATTCCTTTTCTCAAAACCTTAGAACTGCCGCGCTGTTGATATAAAGATTAATAGTCCAATTTAATAAAGCATACCAGTAGAGAAAGTAATTTAATTAGACCCTACAAGACGAAGGTTTTAAAAAAAAAATGGCACACAAAACGCACATCTGGCGTTGTTTCGTGCAGTCACAGTGACGTGTCTCACGTGCAGCTTTGTTGTCGTGTCAACCTGGTGACACATCAAGGCGGTCCTCAAATGTCCACACAACTCCGAATTCTCGTCTAGAGGATAAAGGAAGTCGCGCTGAAATATTAACACTGTGTATGTATGGCGGCTCAGCGGCCCGATACTGTAAGTACATAGTAACATGGTTTTTGTACAGTATACTCGTATATCTGTACGATTTCTGTTATTGATACAGTTTGTTGAAGAGAATTTTTAAAAAATAAGGAGGTAAGGTTGAAGTATTTTAGCTTGTATTATGTTTTCTGTTAGGGATTGTAGATGAACAAGTAAATGTATATAAAGGTATCAAAATATGTGGAAACTGTTTAAAAACTAAACGCCGTAGTTGCCTCCACTAAAGGTCACTAAAGGTATCTTTGATAATATTTCACGGTGTAACCTATACGTATCAAAATGGACACATCGGTTTATTGAAATTGAAATATCAGACTTAAATTACAGCTAGAAGCCAGTATATTGGGTCCTAGGTTAACGACACATTTATAGACAACCCCCCCCCCCCCTTCGACGTATGGTCCTCTCTTGGAATTAGAATTTTGCCTAGCTGAATCATAGTTCTAAACCGTAACAAATGGCACCGTTCGCCCTCTAAAATTCCAATTTTTTTCGGGGCCCTTCAGCAGGGGGGGTCGGGTTGGCATCCGCTGACCCCTCCCCCCCTCAAATTATCCTGGCTCCGCCCCTGCATTTAGCATGCTCAACAAAACACAGGTTGCGTTTTTTTCGATCCGAGTTTCAAAGTTCCGACAGCGACTTAAGTCAACAAGCACGCTTCTTCACCCTGAATATCACAGTGATGACGGCGACTCAGACTCTTTTATATCCATCACGAATGCTCCTTCATCCAGAATATCACAGTGATGACGTTGACTCAAACTCCTTTACATCCATCGCGCTCGCTCCGTTACCATTAATTACTGACGACTTTTTGGTGTTTTGGAGAAGGAACGGTGCCATTTGGTAGGGTTTGGAACAATAATTCAGCTAGTCAAATTCCAATTTTTTCAGTAACCGAAGGAGAGGTTCAGCCCCCCCCATTGACCCT